CCCCTCCGCGGGCAGCCCCGCGCTCCCGGCCCTGCCAGCCTTGCCCACGCGGCACCGACTCTGCGCCTCCTTTTTCTGCGCAGCAGGGGCCAGGGCCGGCAAGGACAATACCCCAGCCACTGACTTGTCCGTGGTTATAGTCCAAAAGCAGACACCTTGCCTGCACGTATCCCGACGGACGGGGGCACTCCCGGGGATGGGCTGTATTGCCCTGACTGCCAGCGCCTGCCGGTCAGGGACATAAAGAGCAACCACAGAGAAGAGCAGGACACAGGTTATTGTCAGAGACCGCCCTGCATGCTTGATTCATGGTACAAAATAGCCGAGTGTAGCACGGTGCAAGCCTGTGCCTAGATACTGCCCAAGTACAGCACAAGATGCGTTCTAAATTAACATCCATGGGAGGCTGGATGGTAGACATCTAATTGGAGCCTCCCTTAATATAAGAGCCAGGTAGTCACCCCACTTATTGCTGAAGGCAATGGTCGTTTACAAAGATGCCTGTTATTATAACAACAGGGAGAGAAGGGCACACACACAATATCATTTTATAACGGTTATATTTCAAGTACTGTATCTTCACTGAAAAACATCATATTAGGTGCCACAGGACTCTTCATCACTTTTGCAGATCTGGACTAACATAGCTACCCCTCTGATGTTGTTCGTCCATCGTATTCGAAGAGGACCTTGACATCTAACAGGTTATGGACTGTTCATGGTGTGTCCGCAAATGGCTGATAAGGCCGATACGGGCACGGAATGTTCTACCACAGGTCGGGCAGACATGTGTGGGCACCACTGTTGCAGCTTTTGCAACTCTGGCTTTACGGAGTGCTCGCTTCTCTTGTGCTATGGTTGTCCTTCTGGCTTCAGATGTTTGACAGCCTTGGTAGATCAGCGTGCGCCATGTTGATTGGTCTTGTGCCAGGGTCTCCCAGGAGGTCGTGTCAATATCCAGGGACTTGAGAGAGGCTTTAAGCGTATCTTTGTATCTGGTAGCATTTTAAAGACTAACAAAACATGTAGATGGTATCACGAGCTTTCGTGGGCACAGTCCGCTTCTGATGACGGGAGTGTTGGCTGTCCAGAACCAAGAATAAATGGAGGAAGAAGGGGGAAAGACTGGGGGTAGGGGGGAAGTGAAGGGGGGAAGAGAAAAAGAGGCAGGGGGTAGATAAGTTTCAAAGGGAAAAACACAGGGAAAAATACTGTTCCTCTTTAAGTGCAAACTAATGGTTCTTATCAGCCCCTTATAACTATCTAGTCTTTAAGGTGCTAATAGACTAACAACAGATTCTATACAGACATCAAGAACCATTGGCACCTTCCTTGTTTGTTTGTTTGGTTGATAATGTCCCAGACATCCAGTGTCGGGATTTAAACCATCTGCATGAGAATTAAACTTGTGAATGAAGTGGAGTTCCAGTTCTTCTCTGTGTATTTGACTTGTGGAATTGGTCTGTAACAAAACAGCAAAATGTGGCACCCTGTGGCTTCCAAGAGCCATCCACACAGCTCTGCTTGCAGGATCCAGACTTGATTGTTACTGTCTTTTATCTGCTGCTTCAGCGGGCAGCTGAGTTAGGCTGTACAGGATAAACTTAAAAAACAACAAAAGGTCTGGTAGCACTTTATATACTAACAAAATATGTAAATGGTATCATGAGCTTTCGTGGTATCAATGTGTCTTGCTGATGTTTTGTTACTCCTGCAGTGCTGTTACACAGAGCTACAAAATACTGCAAAATATGCTACTTTGTAGAATAATAAAAGGTAAGAATGATATTATGATATCATTTTTGGTTGACATCCAAAAGTAAGGAAATTCAAAAATTTATGTTCTCACATAAATATTAACTTGGATATATTGTACAGATGTATGCATTATTTCAAAATAACTCAGTCTACATCTACACAGCAGGCAATTATTTCGAAATACTGTCAAGCTGGAGGACTTCTTACTCGGACTCCTGTAACCCTCATTGTATGAGCACTAAGGGAAGTCGAAGGAAGAGTGCTCTATTTCAAAATAAATGCTGCGTAGATGCTCCCATCTTCGAATTAAGCTATGCAATTGACAGCTCAATTTGAGTAGCTTATTTCAAGTTAAGCCCTGATGTGTAGATATACCCTTATAGTCCCCATGCCCACCCTTGTCCAGAACAAGAATCAGAAAAAATCCATTTTAGCTCCTGTTGCCCCGGGCTGGAGCCTGCATGGTCAATATGGTGATGGTACGCATGAAGTCTGGTTAACACTAAGGGTACGTTTAGACTACAGGCCTCTTTTGAAAAAGAGCGTCTAGACAACAAGAAGATTTTTCGAAAAAGCGGCTCACTTTTTCGAAAGAGAGTCTAGACGCTCTCTTTCAAAAAAGCCCTGTTTTCATGCAATAACACCTTTTTTCGAAAGATGATTTTCAAAAAAAGGTGTTATTCCTCATAGAATTTACTGCCATCAACAAAACTGCCATGTTCTTTTGATTTACTGTTGACAGAACGTGGCGGTAGTCTAGATGCAGGTAAAGTTTTTCAAAAAAAGGCCATTTTTTTCAAAAAAAACCTGTAGTCTCTAGATACACCCTAAGAGCTGTGAGCACCTGGAGCCTACTCAGCGAGGATGCAATCATCAGAGATTTTAACTGCTAAAACCCTTAAGAAGTCTGAGCATGTTCAAACAGAAATTTTTCAAATTTTTCAAGGCTTTAACAGGCCTTCATAGAAAAAGGCATATTTCCTAACCAAAGTTGGTCAATCTCTGCCAAAGTTTAAGTCCTTACTCCTAAGGAGGGCACTAAAGCTTCTCAGAGAAAAGGTTGCTACTTTAAAAAAGATGAAAAACAGTATATTTTTCCCTAACCTCATTCTTGGAAGTGGCTGAACAGTTTATGCTGTAACTTTCCAAAAAATATCAGGCTGAGGCAGACACCTGGCATGAAAAACTGAAACCCAAATTGTTAACTCTGCAAAACTATTATAGAAAACTGAAAACAGGGCCTTATAGGCCGTGTCTAAACTACACCACTCTGTTGGCAGAGAGATGTAAATTAGACGTTTCGAAAGTGTAAATGAAGTGGGGATTTAAATATCCTGCGCTTCATTTGCATAATTGTGTTCTGTCACTGTTTCAAACAAGCACCATGAGGAGTACAGGATCTTTTGAAAAAATTGCCCCGTTGTCAGAAAACCCGTATCTACACCGCGGTTTCAGTTTCAAAATGGCGCTTGTTCGAAACAGCACCAGAACGTGATTATGCAAATGATTCTGTCTGCTACAAGATGAGACTCCGCCAGCCAGTAGAGTATAGAGGGTTTATTGCTTCTCCAGGATACAGCACAGCCTAGATGTGATGTGATTACAGGAGTCAGGGCCAGGCAGCCAGGAAGGGCGTGCTCAAATGCTATGTAACAGGTAAGAGGGGAGACTTCCGGGCGTGGCGTGACATCACGGCCCGGGACTTTAAAAGCGCTCGGCCCAGAGTTGTACTGTGTGGCCCAGCTTGAGGCTCGGCATGTGGTCTGGAGCACCAGAAGCAGCTGGGGCCTGATCACAGATTCCAGCCCCGCAAACTGGAAGGTAGAAGGTAGGTGGAGAGGAGGGGAAAAACAGGAGGAAGAGGTGGGAAAGGAAGGGACTTGTGCTGAGAGGAAGGGGGGCAGGTCAGGAGAAGAAAGGGGAAGGTACCAAGGGACAGAGTGGAGGAGAGACAAATACCAGGGGGCCAAGTGCAGACAATGAGGAAAAGGGCAGGAGGGGAGGTGTCAGTAGGGGGGGGGGGGAACAGGGTGATGCTGGGAGAGGAGAAGGTAAGGGCATTGGGGGCTGGAGCGGGAGGTGCTGGGATAAGGATCGAAAGAAGGGGTGGGCATGAGGAAGGTGGGGATGGAGCAAGGCATATGTGAGAGCACAGGGACATGAGGGGCAGGGAAAAAGAGGGCAAAGGGCACAGGGGCAGTGAGGGATGGGGAGGCACCAGGAGGGTGCAGGGGTAAGGGAAGGTGCAGGTTCCAGGGGATTCTGGGGGTGAAGCAGAAGGGCAGACACCTGCAAGGGAGGCACCAGCACCAGAGGAGAGAGGCAGAGCACGTGTGTGGAGGAAGGTGTTAGGAGAGGGGATGAGGAGGGGAGCTCACATAATCAGAATGGGGCTACAGGAGGAGTGGACACAGAGGGTAGAGAAGGGCTGGTGGAGGGGAGCAGGTCTCTGGAGGACTGAGGGCAGTGAGAAGGGCAGGAGTCCGAGTCAGGACAGCAGAGGAAGGTGAGGGGTTGGGGGGGCAGCAGGCACCAGGGGAGCTGATGGAGCAAGGGGAGACATGGCAGCAGAGGGAAAAGGTAGAGGTTTATAAGATATTTATTAATAACTTGGGTACCACAGTGGCACATCCAAACAAGCCACATGAACTCAGTACTGGTGCACAACACAAAATTCATTCTGCTCATGGGAGGAAACTCTTAGAGGGAACATTTCCCCCATCTCTCCGCCCCTGAGTTAATGTCATACACATTGGGTTTATTTACTAACTTGTAAATAAAGCACACATCTAAAAGTATAAACATTGACTGAAATGCTCCATATTTCATGTGTACAACATGACAGCAACATTTGTACCTGAAAATTAGAACATCCTCACTTTCATGGATTTAAATTCTTAAATGATGGAACAGAGCAAAAATGACCAAAACAGTATCTTTGCTTCTCAAGAAGCAGAAGAAAGACTGGATAGTAGTTTTTGTTTGTTGTTGTTTATTTAGGATTATCAGAAATATACAATGTATTATTCCTAGTTTTTGCTGGATGACTCCTTGGAAGACTAGGGAAGTGGAGCAAAACCTTCAGTATCCCTCAGTAAAATGGACAGAGATGTGTATGAAAAATCTTTTATTGCGTCTATTAAGCATTTTGTTAAATAGACATTAATAAAACAGGATCTTTAAATAAAAATACCTCCCCCTTTCGGTTGCTCAGGATTCATTCCCTTGGCACTTTTAATGTCCAAGTTTCATCCATCCAGTTCTTCAGGGAACCCAGCAATGTTCCCTCTAATTTTTCCATTTGTGTGCAGAATAAATTTTGCTATATGCATGAAGGCAAATGTGAATGTGCCTGTAGAAAAGCATGCTGCTAGTTCTGGGTGC